AGGTTGTCACGTCATCCATCGTTGAGAAGAGTCACCCGGTTCACACAAAAACCACCTTTTGAAAAAACCGTGGCATTAAAAAGACCAAAGGATTATTGATCACTTAAACATGAAAAGAAACTACTACATTAAAAAGAAGCTTTCAAAGTAAATAAGAAGCTATTAGACTAAACATCGAGTACTAAAAAAACAAAATAAAGAAGCTATAAAGTAAACTGTTGAAAGCCTAAATGAATATGCAAACTAAGAAAAGGAAAGAGAATATATACATCAATAGAGAGAGAAGAATATGTACATAATGAAAAGAAAAAAANCCGCCCGAATAAGAATAAGCATTGTTCCCAATGCTTAACAAAATAAAAACAAGGAAGGGAAAGAGTTGAGAGGACTCCTTATGTGGTTTCCGTGTCCATAGCAGCATCACCTCCCTCAGGCTCCTCCAACTGGATCTCGTCATTTTTTGCTCGGGGAGTAGTTGGGTTGGTGAACATCTATAGCACTGCCTCAGCAGTGTGGGCAGGGAGGTCTGGCTCCTCAGACTGGCCAGCCGGTGCCACTGGTGCTGATAGTGCTGCTGGAGCTGTCTCCATCAGCAAATCAAATAGAAGATCCCCAACTGCTGCTATCTTGGTCACCTCTCGTCTCAACCTATCAACTGACTACTTTGATGCTTGGGATTTACTCTTCTTCTTTACTCGCTTCCCAAGCTCCTCAATTGATGATCCATGTGCCACCAAAGTATCCATAATGATCTTCTGGTTCTCCAGAATCTTCTTCAAAGTGTCCTCTACTGTCGGAAGAATCTAGGGAGCTGGGGTAGATGTCTGGGCTACAACAACACTTGATAGGTCAAACATCTTTGCAGTAGCTATCTGCATCTAGTTGTTGAGACTCACTAGTGTCTAGGAGACTCGCAGAGCTAAAAGTGGATAAGTAGAAGATAAAGGAACTGATGGCCCTGAAGATGGAGGTAGAGGTATACCAGCTGTACTACTAAAAGGCCCGGCTGTTGTGGAAGGCATGGCTGCAAAATCTGTAACTACCACCAACGACTCATCAGACTAGCCTACGGTAGTAGTCGACTTACCCTTGTTCTTCGGGTTTCTTGGGTCCTTCAGATAGTACCATGTGAAGGGCTTCTTTGCCTAAACCCTTATATCAAAGCTCTTTGACTCCACCCCCGCATCCGTAAGATACTTCATGATGGTGTTTGGATACGGGTAGGAGCTGTCACCCTACCTACCAACCAAAGACATGTTGAGCGACATAATGGCATCCACATTGATTGGGTACCCAGCCATGGGTGCCCTATAAATACGAGGTTTTGGGTTTTATTTCATATTTTGACCTAGAGAGCTCGGATTTTGGTGATTTTTTGAAAGTTTTTCAAGAAATTCATCGGGGTAAGTTAGATTGTTCTCGTTCTGTCATGGGTCTATTCTACTGCACACAAAGGTCTGCCACCCTTTTGCTTTAAAGTTAAGGGTGTTCTGCTGAATAGGAACCCCTGTTGTGATCCATAGTGGTGGTGGTCCTGGAGCTGCCAAATCTCCGCTAGCCGTGGGCGAGCTGCATTACCCAGTGCAAACTTCTCCAAATATTGCACTGGCCCCACATCCTCGAGACCCAAATACGTGTTCAGTGAGGTTTGATTAAATTTGACTTTCAAGTTCCGTACGTTAGTCACCTTAGTCCCCTTCTTGATATGCGCCACATTGGCATAGAATTCCCGGACTAAGTGCTCCTTGGCATCCACCACAGTTTGAGTGAACCATGTCCACCCTTTTCTCTCCCGAAACTATCTTTCCACATTCGATTGTACCTATCCAAGTCCTTCAAAACAAATTGATGCTCAAGTGTGAGCGATATCTAAGGACACCACTCTCGGAACCTGTTGAATGCAGTCAGGCTCACAAATCTATCTTCACAGACTTCTTTCTTCTTCGACCTCTCAACGCCGGCAACTTGGGTATCTCCCCCTCGACCGTCATACGGAACATCATCATCAACAACTATATCTGGTGCATCGGGGGCATGTGAGGAAGAGGGCTCTGAACCCTGACCGTCGTCTTCTGAACCCTCAGAAGTGCTAGCTGAGGTGGAAGGCTCATCTCTGAGATAGAACCTCCCTTGGAGCTGCCTTTGTTATAACTGTGCATTAGGCTGCTCTTGCACAGAGTTTCCCTCTGATGCGTCCCCAGACGGGACACATGAACTGGACTCGGCAAGCTCCGGAGCTCTTCTGACTGTTGTCTTCTTTGCTATGACCCTTTGTACGAAGAGTGGTATGGTACCCCTGCCTCGGCCTCGGGAGGGTTCACCCCTCCCCTTGGATGTATCATCTCGTCCCCGAGATCTAACCATTGTCTGCAATACATAGCAATAGGAATCAGTTAGAGTTCAAGTCCATAGTATCAGACAGTTACAGACAAAACAGTATGCAGGATGGGAAAGTGCGGTCCACACATTTTTGAGTGCGGCAGCAGATGGGTTTGTGTGGACCGCATAATTTTGAAGTGTAGCCGCAGTGGTGATTCTGCGGTCCGCATAATTTTTAGTGCGACCGTACAATTAAAATGCGGACCGCACAATTTCTACTCAGAACTTACAACTCTCTGAAGGTAGAGAAATGCTCGATCTGCGGCCGCACAAACTTTTCTGCGGTCGCAGTTCAATTTCTGCGGACCGCACAATCAGGCTATACCAAGTGCCCTAAACTAATGATCTGTGGACCGCACAATTTCTTGTGCGGCCGCACAATTCAAAATCAATCGGCAGTAAACTTAGGGTTTCTAATTTTGCACACAAATTTGACATGGTAGTAGCAAGTAATCATGATCAATAGTTTACTCATTCCCCAAATAGCAAATAGGAAGTTACCCACACAATTTTAAGCTCACATGATGATGAATTTTGACATTAGGTCTAAAAAGAACTAAACTAATTATGAACAAAATTAAAAAAAAATAAAAAATGTTAAAGATGAATTGAACATACCAATAATGTAGTGATGCTAAGGAAGAATCAAAGATGATGAAATTAGTGTGAGATGCATGAATCAGATGAGTGCATTGTGCTTGCCTTTGTGTTAATTTTTCAGAGTTCGTAAAGTTTTAACTGTATAATGAAGAGCACTATTTATACTTATCGCGATGGCCTAAGGTTCAAGAGACGAGTGCGGCCGCACAATTTCATGTGTGGTCCTCACTCTTTTACGTGAAGAACATTTTCCTTTTGCAGATCTGTGGTCCGCAAAATTTTAAGTGCGGCCGCAGATAATGGTGCGGACCGTACATTTCCTTGTGCAGCTGCACTTTGGCCATTTCTCTGATAGACAAACTTCAGAGAGTGTGCACTTTTTATCATCCAGTGTTTTAAAAGGTGAGGGTGCAAGATGAGACATTTTACCTTATACGGGACATTTTACCTTATACGGGGCAAAGCGTAAACCTCGAGGCGCTGCGCATAAGCCCCATCAATTTTCAATTTTCTGAAATTCTATAAATTAATATAATAAAAAATAAATATTAAGATAAGGCTAAAATACATAAATATTATAGAAGTTTCAAAAAAAAAAAATAAGCGGAATGTGTATATAATCACTTCATATTAAAATAAAAATTTAAATCAGCAATTAAGTTAAAAACTAATCAAAACTCTTCGCCAAAAAAACTCATCAGACTTTAGAAAAAAATTGAGTAGAAATTTATAAACTAACTTGATATTAAAAAGCAAAATAACTTGAAAAGAAATAATAGGAAAGAAGAAAGATATAACAGGAAGCGCTGAACCATAACAAATCAGGAAGGATGACGCGCTTTTGCTTTGTATAGTTTGCAAATTGATTATTTTTTCCATTACCCTAAATAAAACAAAGAGAAAGATTCCTCAAAAAAAAAAAGAGAATAAAATTAGGGTTAAGAATAAAATATATTTTAACTTTTAAGTTTTTAAACTTTTTAGAATGCAATAACAAGTTGATTTTTGCAATTTTTGGTATTAAATTAGGGACTTGTTTAGCAATTTTCATTCTAATTTGGAAAGATTTTCTGGGCTTACTCCCCAAGCAAAAACTTGCCCAACGCCTAAGCGTGTTGTCACCTCCTTGGTGTTAACTAAGTGTACGTGTGGCACTTGACAACTCGCTCACGATCTTGTACAACTTGCTCACATTCTTGCTATGCCAACTCAGCCTTACTACACTCGAGATCGCTAAGAGAATGTTAGAATACATAAGAATTGTCAAAGGAAGCTTTAATATTAGAGAGAACTTGATTGTTTTGCTTGGTAAGTTACAAATGAATATTCCTATTTATATACCAGTCTCCTAAGGCTAGTGAGTAAATAAAAATTGTTACACAACATAGCTTGAATCTTCTAAGGATTTTCCTAGCTATTCCATAGGGTTCTAAGGTCTTCCATGAGAAATCTCCATATTTTCTAGAAACCTTACCACATGTGCTAGACTATTTAATATGTAATCTTTTCGTATGGCAAAAATATATGTCAAATGGTACCTACGTGGCATAATGATATGGCGGGCCATGACAGTACACCCATAACAATGAGGCTTATGCCTCATAATACTTTCACCTCCACGGATTGCCCCCTGTGTGTTTTTACTTCGCCATGCCCCTCCTCAAGGCTTGTCCCGGGCTCACCCCGAAAACGCCTTTTAAAACATTGGCTCCAAGCAGTAATATTAAGCATCTTAATCAGACTGACGAAATAATTGCACAATTGAGTGTTTCAGTTGGATGAAGAAATCTCCCCAGTGGAGCCAAGGGTGGATGCTTAATCACTGTCACCATTAATGTTTTTCCTTCTCCCAAAAATTTTAGTTCGGACAGGACTAGATTGGAAATTTCCTTTTAACTGGACTTTTTCATAATATATAACTGCATTAGCATTAATGATTGAACAGATTCATACAAACAATGCTAGTAAAATGTATGAAAAACTCATTACAGGACACCTTACAGTTTACTGGAACTTTCATGTTAGAAGATAGCCAAAACCAAAACCAAATCTGTTGATTGAGTACACTTGCAGCAATGAATGCTTCACCTCATATATCAGAGTCAAATCCAATTCAACTATAACTATATTAAGTTTGATAATGTCACAGCATCAATCAAGAAAGTTTCAGCTTTTTTGAAATCCCAATGTTTAGTGCAAGTAACTAGAGAGATCTCAATATCATTCTAAAAGTGTGACACTTCAAATGCCCACTCCCCTTTTACTGGATCATAAGAAACAAATTCTGCACCATGCACTCCTGCTTTCTTAATAAGCATATCTCTGTACTTGTTAATCATTGGTCCATCTGTGTACTCCTTCCCGTTCGATTTGTTGATGCATCTGACATTAAGGAGAGTTATCTCAGCTGACTTGTTGAGGCCTTGTCCAACTGGAGGTTTCTTGCTCTCGTCCATATAGATGATCACCTCACGACAGTTAAAATGGACAGCAGAATCAAGATCAAGCTTCCGGACATCTGTTTCTCCCAAGAACTTGATGCTTCCATAGCCATGTCTTCCTACCACAAAGTCCGTCACGTGGCTACAGAAACCAGGTTCTTCCTTCTCCTTTGATATTAATTCCTGGATAGGAGGAACTGTGTAGTAATCAGAACGTTGGAGCTTGGGCATTATGGCATCAACATCCTTATCATCATGCTTGCTATCCATGGCTTCTTCAGCAGCACTTTCAACTGAAACTTGAAAACAAGGTTTCAGCTTTCTAGAATTATCATAATGCATCTCTTCAGGCGCTAAGTTGGGCTTGCCACAACTGTCATTAACTTTGACTCCATCATGCATCCCTACGTTTTCTTTAAGTTAACAGAAAAAGGAATTAAGAAGTTTGAAAGAGCTAATCAAATAATATGCAATTAAACAAAATGCAAACTATAAAAGTGTTAAAACAGAAAATATATTCTCTCTTTCCCCTTATTAGAATGCACTGATGACTACAGAAGAGATTAACTACTTTCTTGCTAGTCAGCTCTATCTTTTTCTTCTCTCTCTTTGCTTTAATGGTAGCTCTACTGCTTTATCCTTGAAATATCCAACAAACTATCAACTTGAAAAAGAGCGATACATATTGCACTTAATACCTGTTGCTGGATGAGAAGAGATGGCTGTAGGAAGTGTTTCTCCAACATTTGGAGTCATTCCTGGGTGCAGAGGACCAACGAACAGAGGCTGCGAGAGTAGTAACAACTTAAATGTACAACACCAGAAAGAATTGTTTCACATACCATAATAGAAGTGCTCCAAACTTTTTTTTTGTTAGTTTTCCTTTCTCCACCAATATTATAGACCACAAGGTGGGGATATACATTATTTATGACAGAACGCAAATGGCACAGGTATACAAATGAGATCCAATTGCAAATAGGTTAAGAATCACTTTTTGAATGAGATCCAATGGCACAGATATACAATTGCATATCCAACATACTTTTTGACTTGGACCAAGTGGATAGCCTGTGGAAAGCTGAGAGGATGTAGTCAAGTTCTCCAACCCAATAGATACATCACAAAGTCTTGGGGAAGTAGGCTGCAGCTGGCAGGAAGATTGAAACTTGTTTAGGCAGTTCGAGCATAATGTGGATTGTGGAGCTGCTCCTGTAGTTAAAATAGGAGCGGAAGAAAGGGCAGAGGTAATCGGAGAGCTAGAATCTGGTTTCAAAGGTGCAGCAAATGGACTTAAATGGATCCATGGAGAAAAAGATACATTTGAGGCAGTAGATCCTGATGAAGACTCCAATGGTTTACTTTGTGAAATTGATGCAGCCCCTGTAATACCAGCAGCAGATATTTCACTTAGTCAAATAGACAACTTTACTTTTCATTTTTTTGAGAAGGACAACTTTACTTTTCATTGAAGATCCATGGGAAAACAAATGAAAACTCAAGAAGGAAAGAGACATTAATGAAAACCAAAGTTAAGTGTTACCTTTGTTTGCAGATTCATAGTCCTCTAACCTCAACTCCTCGTGGCTTTTATTAGAATACATTGGCATAGCAGAGATTGACAAAAAGTTTAAATATTGTCCTTCCACTTCTCTAGTTGCAGCATAAGATGCCACTCTAGTTCCAGTGCCAGTTGGAGTGGTGATAGACTTCTCTTTTGATAGAGAATCAAACTCTGCTCTTTTCATGACAAATGGATTAGGACAGTGACAATAAGAAGGTTCTCTTTTCATGGCAAATTGATTTGGACAGTGACAATAAGAAGGTTCTCTTTTCACGGCAAATGGATTTGGAGGATGAAAATCAAAAGTTTCTCTTTCCATGGCAAATGGATTTGAACAATGACAATAAGAAGGTTCTCTTTTCACGGCAAATGGATTTGGAGGATGAAAATCAAAAGTTTCTCTTTCCATGGCAAATGGATTTGAACAATGACAATAAGAAGGTTCTCTTTTCACAGCAAATGGATTGGGAGGATGAAAATCAAAAGGTTCTCTTTCCACGACAAATGGATTTGGACAATGACAATAAGAAGGTTCTCTTTTCACGCCAAATGGATTTGGAGGATGAAAATCAAAAGGTTCTCTTTTCACGACAAATGGATTTGGAGGATGACAATAAGAAGGTTCTCTTTTCACGCCAAATGGATTTGGAGGATGAAAATCAAAAGGTTCTCTTTTCACGACAAATGGATTTGGAGGATGACAATAAGAAGGTTCTCTTTTCACGCCAAATGGATTTGGAGGATGAAAATCAAAAGGTTCTCTTTTCACGACAAATGGATTTGGAGGATGACAATAAGAAGGTTCTCTTTTCACGGCAAATGGATTTGGACAACGGCCAGAAGAAGGTTCTCTTTCCACGGCAAATGGATTTGGATGATCAAAAGTTGATTGGTTAAATACTGGTGATTGAAAAGTCCTTGAGTTGTCAATGACACCAAATCCAGATGTGCCTGAAACACCAAATGAAGAATGATATGTTTGACCAGCAAATTTCACCCATAAAATATAGATAATATAATAAATTGCAAGGTAGATTTCCTTGCTATCTAAAGATATAGAAAACAAGTTTAGCATAGCTTTATCACCTAACTGATAGTCCTCAAACCGCAACTCCTCCTGGCTTTTATCTTTATAAGTGTGCATGCCACAAATGGACTGAATTGTTTCACCTGGTCTTGTGCTATCTTTCTCTGGAGTTGCGATGTATGATGCTATTCTACTTCCTTTCTGATTGAAACCAAATGCTGCCTTTCCAAAACTAAAGCTCTTGAGCAATGGTGCTGTACTTTCTTTACCTGGTTTGCAAATTTGATCAAGATTGAGCACTTAACATATCCAAAAAGATAAAGTAAGAAATAAATAATATTTAATAAAAACTCAACATGGACTACTGAACAATATGGAGCATGTAGTAATGCACACTTAATGGTGTATTCTCCTATATCAATCACATAGAAAAAGATTCTCCCTTAGAATGTTGAATAATCGGTATGAGAAAAATGGACTATGAAGTAAATGGTTGCTTACCTGAGACAAATGCTGCTGGCTNCCCCAAGAATGTTGAATAACCTGCTCTAGTACATGGGAAAAAGGGACTATAATGTAAAGCTTTGTCACCTGATGTGGATACTGCTGGCTGGACGAAGGAGTAGGAACCAAATGCGGAAGTGCTTGACATGCCAAAGTGTGAGTTGCTTGCAACACCAAATGCAGGAGCTGAAACACTGGCATCCCTGGACCACAACAGAGGTTTATTGGCCACACCATTACCTTCATATTTCTTTCCAAATGTTGATAAAGTGGACGAGCCAAGAGATCTGTCTTGCGTTTGAAAAGCTGTAGCATTGTTTGCTGCATTAAATGTTGTGGTTCCTGCAGTTCCAGAAGCAGACTGAATTGATTTTCTAATACACTAAAGACAACTACAAGCATCAGTAGCAGGCACAAGATTGGTTGAATAACTTCTCCTGAAATAGTAAGCAAGAACATTACCCACCATACTGAGATATTGCAGTTATTACAAACATTTGGAAAATAGTACAGCTCTATGCCAATTCATTGCATAGCTACTTTCACGAGAAGATTTTGTATTTGGAACAATTCCATAGCCACCTTAGAACTATTCTAGAAAGGAAAGTATGGTATCTTTGCTTTCATGAAATTGTCAGTATTAAAGAATAGCATCTAAGCGTTTCCCTTCCTTGGCCACAGGCAACAGTGAATGCTATGCTTTAAGATTTGACAAATAAAAGGAAAAACATATTCAAAGAAGTGGTCTTTTACTTTTGTATTTAGACAGAGATGGGGGAGAGTTCTATTAAAAATTTAGTTGATAAAGACATAATGATGGACCAAAATCAAGCAAGAAGCTGATGCAATTAATACTGTAAAAGGTGAACAAAAGAACAAGATGATGATAAGGTGAAAAATTTTCTGAGAACTTCAAAAGCCTGATCTTTTGGTATGGATGTGACCATGCAAGCTGAAACTCTTCTAAGTAACAATAAACAGATATATTCTGCCATCCTGGGGCTTCTTAGGGAAAATTAATTGCCTATCCAAAATCGGTATGCTTAAAGGAAAAAAATAATCAAGTTATATTCAAGTTCTTACCATTGAAAGACACTGCACTTCCAATAGGTTGAGCAAATACGGATGATGCTGATGAGGTTTCTCCAAATGCTCTATCTCCAAACAGTGGTCTAGTCTGTCCAATTTCGGGTGTAGAACCAAACATATTGCTGCTGCTAAATAACGGATTTGAAGCTGCGAGAACAAGAGTATGAGAGAGAGAGAGAGAGAGAGATCACTGCAATTATGTAGTTCTAGAGAAAATGTAATCAACCAGGAGTAAAAGTGTTCAGAAGCAAAAACATACAGAAGAAGATAACTATGAGAAACAGAGAAAGCATGCTAGGTACTCAATGTGAGTATTACCTGCTATGCTAAAGTAGAATTTAAATCCACACAAGATGGGTAAGACACCGATTATTAATGTTGATATTCACTTGTCAATTTTTTGCATAACAATAAACGTCCAACAATTGCACAAAGCATCAGAAACTTTTGTTTATTTTGAGTTTGACATAGAATATTCATCAGATCCAGTATCCTTGCACTCTCTTCCTCTTTCTGATTAATAGAAAATGCTGGCTTTACAAAACCAGAGCTTTAGAGAAATGGTGTTGTACTACATTAATTTTCTAGTTTGCAAATTTGATCAAGATTGAACACTTAACATATCCAAAAAAAACTAAAGCTACGAAATAAAAAATATTTAATTATAAAAAAAACTCACCATGTGCTTCAGATCAATATATAGCATATAGTAATGCACATTGAACGGTATATTCTCTTATATCAATCAACATCATCCAGTTTACAGAAGAAGAATCTCCCTCGAAATGTTGAAAACCCTGCTCTAGTACATGAGAAAAATGGAGTATAAAGTAAACCATTGCTCACCTGACATGGATACTGCTGGCTGGCCAAAGGAGTAGGAACCAAATCTTGGAGTGCTTGACGTACCAAAGTGCTCGACTGTTGATTCGTTAAAAGGCCTTGGTACGAGGAGGCCACCAAATCCAGATATGCCTGAAACACCAAATGAAGAACCATATGTCTGACCTAATGGTATATTCTCTTAAATCAATCACATAATCCAGATAAAATAACAAATTCTCCCTCAGAATGTTGAATTATCAGCTCTAGTACGTGAGAAAAATGGACTATAATGTAAACAGTTGCTCACCTGACGTGGATACTGCTGGCTTGTCAAAGGAGCAGGAACCAAATGTGGGAGTGCTTGACATGCCAAAGTGTGAGTTGCTTGTAACACCAAATGCCGGAGCTGAAACACTGGCATCCCTGGACCACAACAAAGATTCATTGGACACACCATTACCTTCATATTTCTTTCCAAATGTTGGTAAAGTGGACGACGAGCCCAGAGATTTGTCTTGTGTTTGAAAAGCTGTAGCACTATTTGTTGCACTAGAGGCTGTGGTTCCTGCAGTTCCAAAAGCAGACCGAATTGATTTTCTAATCACTAAAGACAACTACAAGCATCAGTAGCAGGCACGAGATTGGTTGAATAACTTCTCCCAAAATAGTAAGCAAGAGCATTACCCACCATAAGAAATCCCACTGAGATATTGCAGTTATTACTAACATTTGTAAAAGAATACAGCTCAACGCCTTGCATAGCTACTTTGCCAAGGAGCAGATTTATTTTTTCAACCAATTCTATAACCACCTCACTGCTGTTCTAGAAAGGAAAATATGGTATCTTTGCTTTCATGAAATTGCCAGTATTAAGAATAGCATCTATAGCGTTTCTTACTGGGCCATAGGAAACAGAGAATGCTATGCTTTAAATAATTGAAAGATGAAAGGAAAAACATATTCGAAGAGTGCCTCTAGTTCTCGAATGCAAAATGCAATAGCCCCATCTCTATTTTTTTTGGAGAAGGGGGAGGGTTCTATGGAAAGTTAAGTTGATAAGACATAATGTTGGACCAAAATCAAGCACGAGATTGGTACAATTAATACTGTAAAAGGTGAACAAAAGAACATACTGATGATAAGGCGGACAAATGATATTTCTAAGACAAAATCAAAACATAATATTTGTGGTATGGATGTGATCATGCAATCTAAAAATTTTCTAATTAACAATAAATGAATATATTCTGCGGTTTCTTCAGGAAAGTCAATTGCCTATCCCAAAATCAGTATGCTAAAAGGAAAAGAAATAATCAAGCTATACTCGTTTTTACCGCCAAAAGACACTGAACTTCCAATAGGTTGAGCAAATACTGCTGATGAGGTTGCTCCAAATGCTCTATTTTCAAACAGATTGCTACTACTAAATGACGGACTTGAAGCTGTGAGAAGAAAAGTATGAGAGAGAGAGAGAGAGAGAGAGAACTATCAGTCACTATAGTTATATAATCAATTTGTTCTGGAGAGAATATAATGTAATCAACCAGCTGAAAAAGTAGTCGAAGCACGAAACATACAGAAGAAGAAAACTATGCAAAACAGAAGAAAGCATGCTAGGTACATATTGTGATTTACAAATTACATGCATGCATGCTGAAGCAGAATTTAAATCCACACAATATAGGTTAGACATCTATCATTAATGTGATGATTACTTGTAAATTTTTGGCATAACATTAAACGTCCAACAATTGTACAATCATGAGAAGCTTTTATGCATTGTGAGTTTGACAAAGAATATTCATCCAGTATCCTCGCACTCTCTCCCTCTTTCCTATTTTGTTAGCTTAGAGAGTAATACCAAGATTCTTTCTATAAATTAAATTTGGATAGCATGAATATTCAGCTCGCTTGAAAACACAAATTTCTGAAACTTAAAGGTGCTATCAAGGAGATTCAAAAATGTTCAAAAACATCACTCCGGGGATTTGATCCTGTATTTTTCTTATGTTAAAGGGGATTCAAAATTTTATATATATGTACTGAAATTTTTTACTTTTATCCTATTTACGCAATATAAGATTGAATCCATTTTGTTGTATATGGCTCCTCTACTGCATTAAGACCCACACATAAATCTAAACCCAAAAAAGAATTTTAAAAAACAACATTCTCTTTTTAAATTTTGAAGGATGCATGTAAAACAGAGAATACCCAAAGACAGAGGAGGATAAAAGCAAGTAATGTTAGTGTAGAAAGAACTCATTCGTGAGGTGAGGCATTTTACTTAAGACGAGGCCAGGGGTAAGTCCCGAGCCATGGGGCTTAAGCCTCACATATCCTTAAATTTTACTAATTTTTCAAAATAGTGTGAAATAGGAAAAATTACAAAAATACATAAATCATAAAACATCAAAATAAAATAAATTATTGAAAATTTTAACATAAATTATAACAAAAGTATGAATAATACAAAAAGTGAATAAGATATCTTAATTCACAAATTATCTACANTATATATATATATATAAGAAGTAAATAAATCATGAAACATCTTTTAATACTATAATTTCAAACTTTCTCTTCAAAGAACATTCTTTTCTTTTGTGAGAGAACAATTTTTCAGATAAATTAATAAATGACTATTAGTCTTATAGAAATAACTAACAATTTCATAATGCAACTCTAGAATTGTTTGCTTTCAACAATTTAAAATTTTGACAAACACAGTCACAACTAAAAGAGTAATGTGTGAATCAGCTCCTTATAGGTAGTTCACTCGGTAACACTTAACTATTATATTAACAAGTTATGTACCTCACGAGCAAGAGAAGAACAACAACGACCCAGCAAAATCCCATAAGTGGAATATCGGGAGGTACGCAGACCTTACTCCTACCCCGAGGAGTAGAGTCAGTGGCTAAGCCAAGAAATGCTATTAGGGTGTTCGAATTTTTAACACCTTTTGCCCGTAGGTTATGCAACGATGTTCAAAGCAGAGGCGGATTTAGGATTTCCGGAGGATGGGTGCATTATTACTTTTTAAACAAAAAAAATAAACAAAAAGGTTGGTAGGGGATTTGATCCCCTTACCTTTGGCTTTGGAAATAAGAGACCAAAACCAGTGCACCACTTGGTCTCTTTTGAACATAGGTTCCATCAAGTATATATATTTATTTTCGCCAAATTATATACATCATATCTATACTTTAACCCGAGGACCACCGGTTCAAGTGAACCATGTTTTACATGGTTGATCCGCCCATAGTTCAAAGTCTATTTTTTAATCAATAACAAATAATATTTTACAATATACATAGTATAATTCTTCGCCGAAGGGTGTTAAGTTGACCACCATTGGGCCAACATAGCTTCGCCCTGGGTAGAGAGGCTGTTTCCGATAGACCTTCGCTCATCAAGAAAAATAAGATTCAAAGAGAAATAAGGATGATTGAATAATGAAGACCTAGCAAAAGTTAATACCTAAAGATTGAAAGGTCTATCAGAATCGACTATTATCATGTCGTTCTTAGTAGAAATTCAAATTCTAATTTGTGATTAATGAAGAGTAACTTTTGAAGAGTCAATGGTTTGTTAAGCAATTTTCAGAGTTTATAGTTTCATAGTCATCTCTTTTAACATAAACTTACAAGGCTAATTACAGAAAAATAGCATAGACAATTGTTGGACGAACCCCATGCATTGGACGTTGGGTGCGTAGAGAAATTAATCGCACAAACTTTCAAATTACAACCAAACAAGCAAGAACCACGACAGTAATTACACGAAAAAGAACATTGCAAGTCTCAGTTATCAAGAATGAATGACATTAAGAGGAGGACAAATTAAAAAGAAGAATTTTACTTACATGGGGCGGAAAACAACGACATTATGTATGATCTTGGTATATTCTTTCACTAGTGGAATGTATGTATGGGAATGAAGAAACATTGGTCGTATATATATACATATTGAGAAGACAGAAGTTGAGAGGTTGCATATTCTGTACGCAGCCCAGTAAGCTTGTTTAGCTTATTGTTAAAGCTAACTCGGTTCACGCTGTTGCCGGTTTAACTTTCCGGTTCTTTCTTCTTCTTTTTTCTCTTCTCGGTTTTTACCTTTTCTCTTTTCCCGCTTTTTTCTTTTCTTTGGTTTGTCAGATTATACTCTCTTTTTTATTTCAAGGTTTTTATTTTTAGAAAAAAAAAAAGAAGAAGAAGAAACCCCTAGTCATTTTTATTGCAAAATATGTAAACCTATTTGCTCCCTTTGTTTACAGAAAGTTATTGAAAACTTTATTTTATCTTTGTTTTAAAAAATCATTTTTTTTTTTCACCCAACCACTATTAGAGGGAGGGTTTTTTTTTTTAGGAAGCACCTCTAAGAATAGTTTGTCATATTCTTGAAGAAGATGAAAAAAAAAACTCTTCGGATAGTTTGTTTGATAAGAAAATATTACGTTTTTTATAAATTTGGGAGAACAAAAAAGTCTACTCTTTTGCGAAGTTAAAAACTCCTAAACAAGTAGTTGAATTTATTCTTGAACTTTTATGCTCATATTATGTCGAGGTACTGCCAAAAAATAGCAAAAAAAGAAAAACACCTTTTTTTATATTCAAAATAAATAACTATATAGTATATACTTTCAATTTTATTCGTAATGTCATAATTATATAGCAACATAAATTTCATGAATTGTTTTAGGGCCATATGTTTCAAAAGTTAGTTCTTTTTTATATTGTGCTCAATCAAACACTGTGAAAAACAAATAATTGTTTTTCCGAAAATAAATCAAATGGTTCGAAAGGCTTCAAGAAAACATCAAGGTAATTATGATGTTGCTAGTTCAACATGATCGCCTTATAACATTTGGGCACATTATTTTTTTTTTTGGTAATTAGTTAGATTTTTATTACCAAAATTGGAGTTATGTACAAAATACAAACACTGAATATTAGACATCAAGTCCCAACCTTCAATCTAAGCTTAGAAACTAAAATAGCAAAAAGATCATCTCAATAACAAAAGTAATTAGGCTAGGTAGTAATTTAAGTTCTCCAACCACTTTGCAATCTTCACCTTCATTGAACCTCTAAAGTGGATTTCCTGAACTATCAGTCTAGCCAGTACCTCTGTACTCTGTTGTTTGCCTTGAAACACTCTATAATTTATTTCCATCCACACATGGTAAACAGCAGCCGCTAATAGCATTCTGTATACCTCAGCTCTTGGAGTTCTCCCACTAGCATATTATATCGCCCACTGTTGTTCATCTTCCCAGGCCATTGGATTTCTAGTGACACCTATCCAGTTGAGCAGCTTCTTCCATAGTTGTGCAATGGTCTCACAAGTAAAGAATAGATGGGCCAAGCTTTCATGATCTTGCTCACATAAGGGACAAAATTGATCTTGAGTCACACCCCACTTGAATAATCTATCTCTGGTATATAATCTCCTAAGTGCAGTCAATCTCAATATGAAAATCCATTTTAGTAGACCTTGGTTGTGACACACAAGTTTCCTCCATGCTACTTTCTGGAATGTACCTCTTAACTTCAAGTAAAATTGCTTTGTAGAGAACTTCTCCATGCTCTGTACCTCATTCAATATATAGCCTGCTTCATTAAAGTACTTTGTGGTTTTCAAAATCTTCTGAACAATCCAAGATGCTTGCTTCGGGACATCTTCAAACATATTCATGTTCCTCCCATAGTAACAATAAATCCACTTCACCCAAAGTTTATCTTTTTTCCTATAAATATTCCACAACAGTTTACTAATTGCCGCTTTATTCTAAACTGCAATGTCTAGAATATTTAAACCACCTACCGACCTTGGATAACAGACCCTATCCCAAGCTAACAACGCTTTTTTTGACAACTCAGTACCACTAGACCAAAGGAAATTTCTACAAGTAGCTTCAATGAATTTAACAACTTTCTTAGGTAAGATGAAAATCTGCGCCCAGAAGACTTGTATAGAGAACAACACTGACTTTATCAATTGGGATCTACCAGCATAGGATAAGAATCTAGTAGTCCAGGATTTAATCCTTCCCAACATTTTATCCAAAAGAGGTTGGCATTGAACAACAGATACTCTCTTGGTGCTTAGAGGGATCCCTAAGAATCTAATAGGGAGTTCCCCTTTGCTGATTCCCAAGAGATTATGGATTTCATTTTGGACCTCATGTGTAACACCTCCATAGTAAACAGAGCTTTTGCTCAAGTTTGCAATCAAACCAGAGACCTTAGAAAAACTTTGAAACCTATCAGATAGCATATGAACAGACATAACATCCCCTCTAAAAAATAAGAGTAAATCATCCGCAAACCCCAACTGGATCAGATTCATTTTAGCACATTTAGGATGGAAATTGAAATCATACAGTTTTCCTAATTGCTTGAGTAGCTTACTGAGATATTCTATTGTCATGACAAATAAGAAAGGAGAAAGGGGATCTCCTTGCCTCAATCCCTTCCTAGCCTCGAAAAGTTTAGTAGGCTTCCCATTAACGAGCACAGAATAAGAAACAGTTCTAACACACCCCATAATCCATTTTACAAAAATATCCGAAAAATTTAGACTAACTAGAATTTGCTCTAGAAAAACCCACTCAACTGAGTCATAGGCTTTCTGCATATCAATTTTTAGCACGCATCTAGGAGAGATTCCTTTTCTACCATACCCCTTTACTAATTCATGACTCAGTAAGATGTTATCAGTTATCACCCTCCCAGGAACAAAAGTTGCTTGGCTTGTATCAACCAAGGCGTCCATTACTTTTTGTAGCCTCCTTGTAATTACTTTTGATATCAACTTATAGAGCATAATACAACATGAAATAGGCCTGAATTCTTTAATTGAAGAGGGGTGTTGTACCTTTGGTATCAATGTGACAGTGGTGCAATTGATAGCTTTGAACATCTTTGTTGAGCTAAAGAACTGTTGGATCGCATCGGAAACTTCATCACCAATGATGGGCCAAGCTTTTTTAAAGAAGCATGCATTGAACTCATCACAACCTGGGGCCTTTAAGTCAGAGATACTCTTCAAAGCTTGACAGATCTCCTCCTTTGTAACAGGTTCAATAAGTTGGATTTGTTGTTCTCTATTTAGTATAGGGCCTTCTGCCATTATGCTAGGATGGATTGCGGGCAACTGTGTGGCATTAGCACCCAACAATTGCTTATAGAAACCTAAAATTTCATCTTCAATACCTTTTTCAGACTGTATCATCTCACCCCTGTCTGATACTAGGCTTCTGATCTGATTCTGAGTTATTCTATTTTTTATATTAGCATGAAAGTAAGTAGAATTTGTGTCTCCTAGTTTTAACCAATGTACTCTAGATTTCTGCCTCAATATGCTTTCTTCAACCAATATCCATTTCTCTAGATTTTCCTTAAGCTCTTTTTCCTTGATGTACAACTCATGTGCTGGTGAACTGTCTCTCATATGCTCATGTAGTTCAGTTAGTTGTTGCCTAGCTATTTGCACTCTCACATCAACTTTGGAGAAATTTGTTGCATTCAACATCTTCATTTGTTGCTTCATCATCTTCAATTTTAACCATAATCTCTCCATGGGGCTACCTCGTACAGGTGTGTTCCATGTCCTCTCAACAATTTGCAAGAACCCATGATGATCTGCTAAGTGGTTTAGGAATTTAAAAGGCCCAGCGCACTTATTCTATTGTTCTGTCAAAGTAATACACAATAGGGCATGATCTGAGAAGTATGGATCCCTCACAGCAACCTCTAGATGGGGCCACAGTGACAACCACACGTGATTAACAAGTGCCCTATCGATCTTGCTATATACATGATTATTGGTCCATGTATAATACCTCCCCACAGATTTCATTTCAGCTAAGCTCGTGCTATTTAGGAAGTTTTCAAAATCCCTTAGTTCCCCATCTTGAATTTGGCTGCCATTTTTCCTATCTTCCTGTTTGAGTACTGCATTAAAATCCCTCATAACTAGCCAGGGATCTTGAATGCCAGTTTCAAGTGATTTCAAGTCATCCCACAACCCTTTCCTATCATCTACGGTGTGAAGTCCATAAACTGCAGTAAATTCGAACTTCATATTTTTAGCAGAATCTCTAACACAACAATGAATATATTGTAAAGAAGACTGCAAGACTGTAACATCAACCCCCCTTGGATTCCAAACCAGCCAAATTCTTCCTTTACTATCAAGACAAGTATTGTCATACCAATTCCATCCTGAAACAATTTTATTGATAATTTGTGCAGTGTTTTGTTTCTTAACTCTATGTTCAATAATAGCTAGAATTGTCAAGCTTTCCTTCGTTATTAATCTCCTCAACTCCTTTTGCTTATACAACTTATTCAGCCCCTAACATTCCATGTAGCTATTATCATTTTGATCTAACTGAGAGATCACGTTCTTTCACCACCCTACTCTTACTAGATTGTCCCCTATCCACCACAGCCAAAGCTACTTGTATCATCTGTTGAAGAGTGTGTTCCGCCAATGGTGTAAAACCATTATTAGTTTCAGTATTTGTATCCTCAAGTATTACACCCTCTGGGTGCTTACTAGCAGAATTAGCTTTGACTTTCGCCCATCCCTCCTCTTCCTTTCCTCCGCCTCTTATTTCAGCTGATGTGTCTCATGAGGTGCGCACTTGTTATTCTTATTCCCATCTCCATTTGATTTTTGGGTTCCAGCTTCTTTTTGATTCCCACCTTCTTTACCATTCTTGTTCTGCCAAACTTGTTTGGTCTTTTTTACTTCAACTCTAGGTGGGATGATTTGCTTCTGTTGATTAATTTGGCATGTATGACCAAGTTGACAGCAAGTGGAGCAATACTGAGGTTTCGTGTATCAATTACTGTAACTATCTCTAGCAGAGGTCTTGTGATATCCATTTCAACCAGCACTCGAGCATAGGAAATTCTTTCAATTCTTGATGTGCAATCATCAGCAAACAAAGGTGTGCCTAGCCACAGGTTTATAGTTGATCATACAAGGTCCAGAAAACATTACTGCATCTCTACCATTAATACTCTGAAATCTCTCGACGAAATAACCATCATTATGATAATAGATCTTCGACTTAGTAGCATAATTCCCCTGACTTACAATAAATCGCTCTACAGCCCCAATCGTAGGTGAATCACCCACAACATACAAAATCATCGCTGACTTCCACTTCTCAGTTTCCCTTTCCACTTCAACCTTATCCAATTGCACTGTTTTAACGCCATCTTTGATTATAGGAGCAATAAATTGTAGTTTCATACCTTTGGAAGCCAGTGTGTTACCCGTGAAAAGGTTTGCCCAGGACTTCCCTTCATTACTAGCTTGCACCAGATCCAGTTGCCTTTGTGCTCCCCCATGTTCAATTGGTTGATTTGAGGAGGCGTTAGCTGCCTTCTCTTCAAAATTCACCTTCTGTGCCGCCGATTTCTGTATATCCACCATCCTTGGAGCTGAGATCTGCTTCCCATCTCTTGTGCTGTTACTGTTTGGAGGAGTAATCATAACCACCGCACGCGCTAACTCAACGGCTTTAGTTGAAACTAGGTCGGCAAGAGAGGTTTCATTCTGCTCAATCTCCGCCGTGGTCTTTTCGAGTTCATCTTCTTGGTATACTCTTCGATTTGCCTTGGCCAGCTTCACATTCGACAGTTCTATCTTATTCACTACTTTTTTCTGCCGGCCTCGAGCCATTTCCGGCGACGGCGTACGATAATTTCACTGCTATCGTGCGCTGAGAGGATATAAAAATTTACTGTGTAAGGTTTCTTAACAAGCATTTAGCTGCTGATAAGATGGATATCTATCGATTAGTAAATAAATGAAGTAGAAACGAGATTATAACATAATTATACTGCAAATATGGTAAAATATACATTACTGGGAATAGTAAATGATCAGAACCATTGAACAAAATGAGCAAATTGTATAATATAATATCAGTTACAATTGAACTGATAAACCTTAGTAGAATATTACCAAAACCAAAACACTGTACTAAAGCAAGAGCTGTAAACTAATCTAGAAGTGTGACACCCTAAATTTCCACTGCCCTTCCACTGGATCATACGAAACAAATTCTGCACTTTGCTCCACTGCTTTCTTAACAAGCATATCTCTGTACTTATTGACCACTGGTCCATCTGTGTACTCCTTCCCGTTCAATTTGTTGATGCATTTGACATTAAGGAGAGTTATTTCAGCTGGCTTGTTGAGGCCTTGTCCAACTTGTTGGGAATAAACCCCTTACCAAAATAATATTCACGATAATAAAGCGGAATAATAATGTNTTTGTAGGTCGGAGGTAAATACTCCAAAGACCACTACAACACTCAAAAGAAATAACCCTCTTTTGATATTCCCACCTCACTACAATATCGCTCACTCTCTATTTTCCTCACAGACTATTTTCTTATACCTTGTCTGTGAAACCTCACTCTTTCTTTCTCTCTTTGTTGGTGTGTAGAAATGAGAGTTGAAGCTCTCCTTTTATAGCCAAAGCTTCACCCTCTAAAGCCTACAATATTTGACAATTTACACACACTTTTCACAATTCAACAAAGTTGGCTACCAAACCAAAGAAATTCAACAAGGTTGACTACCAACCAAACCAAGTCAACAAGGTTGGCTACCAAACCAAAGAAAACTCTTATTAGGCACATGCCTAATATTTCTTCAATGAGATGGACATCATCACAACTGGAGGTTTCTTGCTCTCGTCCATATAGATGATTACCTCACGACACTTAAAATGGACAGCAGAATCAAGATCAAGATTCCGGACATCTGTTTCTCCCAAGAACTTGATGCTTCCATAGCCATGTCTTCCTACCACAAAGTCCTTCACGTGGCAACAGAAACCAGGATCTTCCTTCTCCTTTGATATCAATTCCTGCATTGGAGGAGCTGTGTAGTAATCAGCGCGTTGGAGCTTGGGCATTATGGCGTCAACATCCTCACTTTCAAGTGAAACTTGGACACAATGTCCAGATTTATCATAATGCATCTTCTCTTCAGGTGCTATGTTAGGCTTGTCACAACTGTCATTAACCTTGACTCCATCGTCCATCCCTACATTTTCACAAAAAAAGAGAAAGAAAAGGAATTTAGAAACTTGAAAGAACTAATCAAGTAATAAGCAATTCAATTACACTATAAACTAGAAGGTGTATTCACTAGCTCTTTCCCCCTTTTAAGATTGCATTGATGTCCACAGGCGTGGGAAACTGCTCCAGACTTCAAGCAGATAAATATAGCTACATATGGAGAACAGATAGTGTTACTGCCTCTATATATATTTGCTTGAAATTTGTATACAAACGATTTTCCCTTTTTCTCTTGCTTTTTCATGTAAATTACGTTTACTCCCATTGCAACTCTAATAGCAAGTCAACTTCTTTATATATCTTAGATAAACTCAAAAATAGATAACAAAATCTAATCTTTGAAGTTATTTGATGCTAACTTGAACTATTAGAGGTTCCGAGTTTTGAACTTGTGGAAAGAGGTAATCTTAATGGAGCAGCCATAAAATGGTAGATCAACTAACATTACATGTGATGTCTCGTTTTCCTAACTATGATAATTGATATACGCATCTCCAGCTGAACCAATAGTTTCGAAATTAAAGCTAAACGTCTCAATCTAATAGCCTCTTGGTGAAAAATAGATTTTGATTTTAGTGGTGAAAATGTTTTGGATTTTATCAGCTCCTATATCTAATAAAAGAGGTGAAAGGAAGGCATGCAAAAGTACATTAATAAAGAAAGCTTACCATCCGCGGATGCATGCTTCAGTTGAGACAATCTACATAAATCAGACCCCAAAGGAAATTCTCTAGTGGTAGGACGAACCCAATCCCTTGGATTTTCCCTTGAAATGATCACATCTTTGTTGCTTACTATGCCAGAAGCGTTTTCTTTATCCATAAAAAAGGGAACCTGCATAAACAGAAATTAATAGTCCTGTTAGATTTTCCAATATTTTACTTTGAGCTGATAATTGAATACCAATAACTTGCATTTTGCATATGATCTCTTTGCTTTTTTCCCAACGCAAGCATCTATTATTGCACTCTAGATTTCTTTCCAGAAAAACAATACTACTTCTCACCTTTGGTTTATCACTAGTAGGATTGTATTTTTGAGGTGGCAACCTATGCCGACTTATAGATGAATGTCGTATTATCAACGAGGATCTTCGTCTGACCGGAGCAGTTTTGTCAGAAACCTGTAATTGCAACCAAAGAGAATTGTTCATAAGAACCTACAACATTTATTTTCACCTTAAACAGACAATATGACTTCAAAAATCATGGCTATAAAAACATAATAAAGCTGATACTTATTAGGGTGTGATTGGAACTTGGACACTTATTTTGTGCATGCAGAAATACCGGAAATCATTTATTCACACCTATTTGATGCAATTAAACAAATGAAAAGCCAAAGCCCAGAATCTAGAGGCCCGATCATGCTTAGGGAGGTACTTCTACCTTGGTAGGAAAAAATAATGAATGCAACATACTAAAAGTGAAAAGAATCTTATCGCGAATGTGCATAGAATGAATGGCATACAAGTTATTTTAAAGAGGCATACTAGTACACCATATAACTGCTACTGAGAAGTATGATGCTTTTTTTGAGACCAATGAAGACGTCCAGAACCGTAGGTTAATTAAACTTACAGGTAAGCTTGATATTCCATACTGCACGGATGTTGCCGAATCTGGGCGTCCAACGAATACCTGGACCGCGGGTTGTGTTTCAGAAGGAACCATAATTGGTGATGGCTGCAATCCTGTGATGCTTGGAGAGTAAGACCTGAAAACAGGTTAAGGTATCAGTTAGTGCACAAGCAAGAAGTAATACAAGGATCACAAAGGAAAAGAAAAAGAGAAAAAGAAGATGAATAACGGCTAAGACAACAACTGTAGAGTACTTACTAAAGCAGCAGAAATAGAAATAATGACAGGCAATTCTGAAAGCCAAAAGTAGGCATTTTAACAAGAGAACAAAACAGAAGGATAGCTAAGCTGGATTACTCACTGTTGCACATTGATACCCGGATGACCAACTCCTTGTCCATTTTCTGAAAGAAACAGCAGCCAGGGTGGGGATTAGTTTACATCGATTGTTAATCCAACATATTATCAATGTGAAAAAGTAAGTACCTGTCAATGGCTGAGAAGAGATGGCCGGTGAAATTTTTGCTTCAATATTAGGAGTCTTTTCTGGCTGCAGAGGAACAAAGAACAGTGGATGCAAATCAACTTAAACGTACAACACCAGAAAGAATTATTCCACTACCCACAACAGAAGTGGCCAAACTTTTTTTTCCTCTCCTTTTCTCCACCGACACCACAATGTGGGATATAATTTATTTACAACAGAAAGCAAATGGCACAGGTATATAAATAATATCTAATTCCATACAGGTTGAGAATCACTTACAGTAATTTGACTAGGAGCAAGTGGAACGAATGTGGGAAACAAAGAGGATGGTGTGCTTGGAACATTAAAAAGGCTTGGTAAAGTAGGCTGCAACTGCCAGGATGATTGAGCTGGTGCTGTAGTCGAGACAGGAGTTGGAAGAAGGGATGGCGGTGATACAGTAGGTAAGGTGGGCAAGTTGAAAGGAGAGAAAGAGCGATTCTGATCAAAATGATGGGCTGGGGAAGGTGAGACCAAATATGGAGAACTAGTAGACGGTGGAGACGATAGAGCAGAAGACGTTGATAAAGCCCATGGATTACTTGACGGAGAAAAGATGGAGCTAGTGGAAGAAGTGGAAGCCGCTTTTAAAGGTGCAAAAGGGCTTGAATTGGTCAATGGAGATGAAACATCTGAGCCAGTAGAGTTTAAGAATGATGTTTTGGTGGGGAATATATGGGAAACAGTTGACTGCTGTGACTTTGGAAATAGTAGGGTAGATAAAGTTGTGCTAGAATTCTCATTTGGTAGTGAGTCAATCCCTGGTCTTTTCAAGGCAAATGGATTTGGACAATGAGAATGAAAAGGTTGATCAACAGTTGATGGGTTAAATACCGGTGATGTGAAAGGCCTGGATTTGTCAATGACACCAAATTTAGATGTGCCTGAAACATCAAATATAGAAGCACATGTCTGACCTGCAAATTCACACATGAAATATATACCTATAAAATAAGGTAGAATTGCTTGTTATTTAAAGATAAAGAGAACAAGTTAAGCGTACCTTTATCACCTAACTGATAGTCCTCAAACCTCAACTCTTCGTGGCTTTTATCTTCATAAGTCTGCATGCCACAGATGGATTGAATCTTTTCCTTGCTCTCTTTCTCTTTAGTTGCAGTGTATGATGCCATTCTACTTCCTTTCTTATTAATACCGAAAGTTGACTTTCCAAAATCAGAGCTCTTGAGCAATGGCGTAGTAACTATTTTACCTGAATTCCAAATTTGATCAAGAAATCGATAAATATTTAATAAAAATTCAACATAGACTTCAGACCTATATGGAGCATGTAGTAATGCACATTGAATGGTATCTTATCTTATATCAAAACAAAATTCTCCCCCCAAATGTTGAATAATCTGCTCTAGTACATGAGAAATACTTATAATGTAAACCTTTGCTCACCTGACGTGGATACTGCAGGCTGGCCGAAGGAGTAGGAACCAAATATTGAGGAGTCTGAAACACTGGCATCTCTGGACCACAGCAGAGGTTTATAGGCCACGCTATTACCTTCATATTTCTTTCCAAATGTTGGTAAAGTGGACGACGAGCCCAGAGATTTGCCTTGTGTTTGAAAAGCTGTAGCATTGTTTGTTGCATTAAAGGATGTGGTTCCTGCAGTTCCAGAAACAGACTGAATTGATTTCTCTAATCACTAAAGACAACTACAAGCATCAGTATCAGGCATGAGATTGGTTGAATAACTTCTCCGGAAATAGTAAAGCAAGAACATTACCCACCATACTGAGATATTGCAGTTATTACTAACATTTGGAAAAAGAGTACGCTCTACGCCACTTCATTGCATAGCTACTTTTCTCAAGGAGCAGATTTATTTTTTCAACCAATTCCGTAAACCACCTCACAGCTCTGTCAAAGAAGATATGGTAACTCTGCTTTCATGAAATCGGCAGTATTAAGTATAGCATCTGTATCAATCCTCACCTGCGCCATAGGCGACAGAGAATATCATTTACTAGTAGATAAGCCATGGAAAAGCATAGTCAAAGGGTGCCTTTAGTTCATTCGCATGCAAAAACATCCAAAATAGCCTAAGTGGTCTTTCTTCTGAGTGTATAGATTTGGACAGAGATGGGGGAGTGTTCTATCGAAAATTCAGTTGATAAGACATAATAATGAAAGGGGAGCCTTGGAGCAACGGTCAAGTTGTCTCCATGTGACCTATAGGTCATGGGTTCGAGGTGTGGAATCAACCACTAATGCTTGCATCAGGGCAGGGTGCCTACATCACGCCTATGTTGCTCGGACTCTCCAAAAATGTCGTTGGATGCGTGTTGGATCCTGCAAAAGTAGTGTATTTTTGGAGGATCCGACACGGGTGCGGCACCATTTTGGAGAGTCCAAGCAACATAGCATCACACACCTTTGGGGTGCGGCTCTTCCCCGAACCCTGATGTTTTGTGCACCAGGCTGCCCTAAGACATAATAATGCACCGTAATCAAGCTAGAGACGCAATTTAACTGCATAAAGTTTCACAAAGAGGAAAAAAAAAACGTGTTGATGATATGGTGACAAGTGACTTTTTTTCTGAGAAAATTGCAGAACCTAATCTTTTTGGTTTGGATATGATTATGCAAGCGAAAATTTTCATAGCAATAAGCAGATTGTGGGATTTTCTTAGAGAAATCATACCTATTCCAAAATCATTATGCATAAATAATCGAGTGATATTAATGTTTTTACCACCAAAAGACGTTGAACTTCCAAAGGGAGAAAGTACTGATGCGGATGAGGTTGCTCCACTACTTCCAAACCATTGTGGGACTGAAGGATTACCATTACAGCTCCTAATCTGTTGAATTCCAGATGTAGAACCAAAAGGATTGATGCTGCTAAATGACGGGCTTGAAGCTGTCAAAAGAGAGAAAACAGTCGATCACTATGTTAATTATGTAACCAAGGAAGTTGTTCTACAACTATCACAATCAACCAGGAGAAAAAGTAGTCCAAGCATAAAACATACAGGATGAAGACAATCATGCTATGTAATTAGAGGCGGATATAGAACGGGGTTCAACCCATAATTTTTTTGATCAAACTATGTATACATATGCAAAAAACATTTAGATACGTATAATAAGATTACATTCTGAAAGCACTGACTTTAGATTCTAAATTCGCCTATGACTATGTATATATTGTGATAGCAGTTAAATCCACAAAAGATGAATGAATAGTCTATTAGTGTTACGATTGATGCTTGACAAATTTTTAAGAAGGAACTAATTAGACTAGGAAAGATTGCACAAAGCTTTAAAACTTTTATAATCTATCTATCTGGTCCTTTATATTCAAGTTGAGAAATCAATCACCTATTCCAAAATCACTGTGCAAAAAAGAAAAGAAATAATCGAGTTTTTACCACCGAAAGAAGGCGTTGAGGTTCCAAAAGAAGCAGCAAGTGCTGATGATGTTGCTCCAAATGGCACAGAAGGATTCCCATTCTGTTGAATTCCGGATGTAGAACCAAATAGGTTGCTACTGCTAAAGAGGCCTGAAGCTGTCAAAAGAACATGAGAGAAAACAATCAATCACTATATTAATTATGTAACCAAAGAAATTGCTCTACAAAGAGGAAGAAGACATAGTCGAAACATAAAACAAACAGGAAGAAGACAACTATGAGAAATCATACTACTATATATAATTAGAGGAGGATATAGGACGATTTCTGTGGGTTCAACCCATTGTTTTTTGTATAAATAAGCAAAAACATTTAAATTACATACATATAATAAGATTACTCTCATTCTGAAGATTCTGAATTTGCCTATGACTATATATATAATGTGATGGCAGTTAACTGTTCTTGACAAATTTTTAGGAAGACACTAGGATTTGGAAAAACTTTTTTTGTTATTTGATCCTGGTCTTTTTGTTTGGTGTATATAGTAATATACCAGCAATTATTCGCCATAAGTAACATGGGGAATCACATGAATGTTCTACTCCGCTGAAGACGAAAGTTGCTGAAATTTGGCTAGCATTTGGACATAGATTTGGTTGAAACTTGAAAAAGAATTTTTGAAGTTGCGTGAAAAAATAATTAGAAAAACCTGTAGGCAAAATCTATGGCCAAATGGGAACTTACATCATACTGTAAGTGTTTATCAATATAATTAAGAACTTATTCTTGTTCTCAAACATCAAGGATATGGAGAAGCCACACAAACTTTCAACTTAGAAGTTAGAACCAACAGAAAGAGAGGAGGAACAAAAGCAAGCAAACGTAAGAGCAGAAAGAATAAATTTCACTTACATGGTGCGGTATTATTTTTAAAGGCAAACATCGACATGTTTTGAAACAGAGATATATAGCAAAGAGCAAGATCACTGGTATATTCTCCTTAAAAGTTAAAATTGGAATGTTGGAAAAGACAATGGCCGTATGGGAATGAGGAAACATGATCGTATATATAAATAGAGAAGAAGAGTAGTTAGTTGCATATTATGTACGCTGACTTTAATTTTAAGCCGAGTAACCGTACGTGTAGCTTACTCTTAAAGCTACTCCGTTCTCCCTCTCCCATATCATCCCCAAAATTAACTAACCGAACAAAATTATCCTAATACAATTTGGTATTATCTTTTTTGTTTGGTTGTCATTTCCATTATTCATATAATTAATGCAGTTTTAATTTGTATCAGTATTAACTTATACTTGATATAATACGGGATAACTAATACTAATATGGAATTTTGTTTCACGCTTACTGTGAATAATAACAATGAAGGATTGTCATATGACGAATAAGTCATATAATTCATTCAAAAGTCAAATGAGTTTCTCTGTTACTACATTTTTTTATGTCTTTTAAATATTTTAAATATTTATTTATTGTAACTTATAGTATTTTTTATGTAGTTTTTAAATATGTAAATTTTATTTTAAAAAACTTAAAAGATTTTATGTCTAATTTTACGGTCAAAATTGAGAACTTTGACTCTCGATATCCCAATTGTATCAAATAAATTAGGACGGAGGGAATAATACACTAATTGTTATGGCGTGAATACTTGCTTTAAGGACGAATTCTTTGTTAAATGCTTCTATGTCTATATTGAAAGAATTAGTCAAGCCAAAGAGGTAAAAAAAAAACAAGAAGGGGTTTTTATTATTTGGATTATTATTTATTAACTTAGTTCCTCCAATAAAAGATTTTATTATTTTCGTAGAGGAGTTTAGGAGTATTTTTTTTTTTCCAATCCCTCCAATCAAACAATCTCGTAGGTGTTGTTAGTATAAATATAAATTAATTATAACCAAGTATAAATATAAATTAATTATAACCAAGTATAAATATAAATTAATTATAACCAATGCATTACAATAAGATTCTTTTCATAATTATGTTAGTTTAAATTGTGTATTAACTTTTTAAACCTTACAAAAATCACTTAATATAACAAAACGAGTTTATGAAGCACGCGACCTTTGATTGCGCAACCGACTTCATATTCGAAGAATTGAATTCGCCCCAATTTCAAATTGCGCTACACTTTCTTCTTAGACCAGCTGACACACTCTACTCTCCCCTTTCTATTTGCCGGCCAAATCAAGTTGTAAGTTACCGTCTTTGTCGTCTTCGAATGTGCTTTAATGGTAAAATAGGAATTCTGAATCGATTGCTTTGTGTCTGCTCATACTGCATAAAATTGTTTTCACCATGTGATAATGGCTTCTAACTTGTTAAGTTGTACTAATTAGCTTTTAAGTGCTACCAATTACTGGTACTTTAGCACAAATTACTGTATCCACAATTCCACATGGCTTGACTTTAGGTTAGTATATTAGAGAACTAGATCTTTAATTTTTCTGATAATTAAACTATAAATGTCTTGTTTGCCTATATTATAAATTATTAGAGAGTGGACAAGTTTATCTGAGGGAAGTGTTACAGATTCCTGTTTCTTTTCTTTGCTCATATGCCATTGTTTTAAATACTCCTTAAGTATAATTCTCTCTATCCATATGCCTCGAGTTAAAATTATCAGTCTTGACTTTGCAGCCAAATAAAAAACTAAGAGCAACTATCTTGATAACCTGGATGGTCCTTGATATGATTAATTGGCAGTACGCTGCTAGTTCATTGCCAAATTGTGCTTTTTTGTGCTAGTATAAATTGCATACGTCTATACTGTCCTAGAATTTGGACTTGAGAAGTATGAAAGAGTTTGTATCTTTGTTTCTTTCTTCACTATGTTTAACTTTAAGCTTAAAGGTTGCTAATATGACATGAAAGAAACTGTGGGCTAGGTGGGACATGAGTGATTTGCTAATAGTATCCACCATTTGGTATGTCTAGATTGATCATCGATTGAGTTGTGTCCCAAACGTATTAAGTATGGAATATTTATGAGTTCTTGGGAAAAGGTTACAAATATCAAGGTCATCTGGCACATCCTTTCCAGATAATTTGATTTCAAAGTCTTATTATGTCAAATCTAAGCAGTTTGATATCATTGTTTACAGCTTAAGCGCAAAATTGGTATATTTGACGGAAGGTTAATATATTACCAAAACGGATAATTAGGACCTCTACATTAGGGATTGGTGAAGTATTATCTATGGTATGTCTTATAATTTTGTAAAACTTCTTTGTTTAGATATCATTGTTTTAGGTACCTTGAGTATAATCCAGTCTATCTGCATGCCTTAAGGTTAATATATTAGAGAACTAGATATTGTGGGGTCCATCCTATTCAACAATGCCTATAAAATAAATCCTTTGCTGGAAACTCTTTCTTGGAGCCAAAGTTTGAAAATAAGTGGAGGAGATTAATACATTTCCTGTAGCATTTTTGGAAGCTACGTATTTTGCTCCTATAAATGGAGGAGCTCTCTCACTTCTTCAAACACACCAAAAAGCATAGAGAAGTAACAGAAGTTAGAGAGAGTAATTCACAGATCGTGGTCTGTGAAATAAATAGTGAGTGTGAGTAATATTGTTGTGAGGTATTTAAAATAAAGAGTATTATTTCTTTCAAAGTTGTAGTAGTCTCTTGACACTACTAAGTTGTAATATTATAGTGATAATATTACTCCGCTCGGGTATTGTATTTTACCCTGTTAAAAAATTTGGTGTCTTTGTTACTCTCTTATGTTATTGTTATTTATCGTGGATATTATTCCTGGGCGGAATATTATTTTTCCAATAACGTGGTATCAGAGCGATGGCAAATAATGGTCTGCTTTATTTTCGGTATCCCCGTCTCATAAAAGATAATTATGAGAAATGGTGTCTACGCATGAAAGTCATCCTTGGCTCCCAGGATGTGTGGGAAATCGTAGACAGAGGGTATGTAAAACCCGATAATGAGGAAGCACTGCCTCAAAATGAAAAAGATGTCTTGGCAAAGACAAGGAAGAAGGATCAACAAGCTCTCCCGCTCATCCACCAATGTTTGGATGATGCCATGTTTGAGAAGGTGGCAGATGCTACCACCTCAAAGGAAGCTTGGGAGATTTTACAAAATTCTCTCCAAGGAGTTGACAAGATGAGGAAGGTAAAACTTCAAACTCTAAGAGCTGATTTTGAAGTTTTAAAAATGAAAGTTCCAAATGCATTTCGGATTATTGTTCAAAAGTGAAGGCTATTGTGAATCAATTAACAAGATACGGGGAGGACATAGAAGATGTCCGTGTGGTAGAAAAGATCCTTCGCACGTTAACACCTAAATTTAATTTTGTGGTGTGTACTATTGAGAAGTCTAAAGATTTAGACTTTATTATGATGGAGCAATTGGAGGGTTCTTTACAGGCCCACGAA